AGGAGCAAGGAGGAGGCAAAATAGACCTGATAAACGCCGGAGCGTTTGACGGCCTGGATGTGGTTTTTATGGCGCACCCCTCGCAGGAAAACGCCGCTTACCTGCCCGATGTGGCCGAGCACGAGTGAGTGCGCAGGCTCAGGTGGAGGGGGTCGGCTCGCCATCAGCCTTTCCTCCCCTCCCCGAGCCGGGGAGCTGCTTTGGAAGGGGCTGAGCTTAGGGCCAGGACGCTGCAGGTGCCCTTCAGACCCGGTATTTGCCGTCAGCTGAGGAGCCAGGGCGCTGCTCTGGCACTCGGAGCCGTTCTTCCAAAGTGCGGTGTTCAGATCCCTGACTGCTCCGAGAGAGTCTTGCCTGTGGCCACAGAACCCATTCTTTCACAGAATCACAGAATGTTTGGGATTGGAAGGGACCTCGAAAGATCATCTAGTCCAATCCCAATCTTCCAGTCTTTCTAGACGTTTCTTTTTTATGCATGCATGTGATTGTCTTATCTATTTAAAAAAAAACAAGTTTATTTAAAAAAACCCCTTGTTCTTTAAATTTTAGAACTGGAGGGAGTCTCATGGATTGTAGTTCCTGGCTTTTCTGGGCACTAAGTCATGTAGTCCTCTGTATGCATTTTAATCAGTTTTGGAGGTGTTTCAGGTTTTCTCTTCCACTTTTGAAAGAGACAACTGTCTGAGCCTGACTGCTGTTTGGGTCCTTACTGACTTCCAGCCTAAACTTGATCATGGCCATTTTATGTCTGTTAACTCTCACATAATTTTTTTTTGTTTCACAGTAGTTCTTGGCTTTCCTTCATATTTACCCCCAGTGTAAGTACAGACAGCAGTCATACCCTCACTCAGCTTTTTTTTTTTTGCCAGCTAGCCATATAATTCTTCAGAGATTCTGCCTTGTCCTCTTTTGATTAGCCCTGCTATTCAGTGTCAGCACTTGTTCATTTGTACTTGGAGTGACTTGACTTGTCTTGAAGTACTCCTTACTGGATGTGCCTAACCAAAATGTACGCAGTACTTGAGGTGGGATTTCCTTAGACCTTACTCAGCTGATGCTGGGGCCATGGTGTCTGTTTATCATTTTGGAGACAGCTGGCATGTTTGGGGCTTCCTCTTCAGTCATTTTGAAGACATCAACTCTTACACAAATGCTCTAGTCTGTAAGTACATGATTTTTAAAATATTTTTGAGTTTAATTCTGTTCTTGCTCTGCAAGGCCATGCTGTTCTTCCTTTGAACAGTATAAACCTCTTCTGTTTTCATGGTGTCCCTGCAGCAGTCTAGCAGCAGGTTTTGATTCTACATTTTGTGCCATGGTTAATAGTGATTCTTGATCCCAAGGTCTTGCCTTGTAGACACACCTCCCTCCAGTGCAACAGTTTTTTCAAAGTATTGTGTTTGGCTGTCTCTGACTAAATTCTGTAATATTTAAATAAGTGATCCAGCCATTTCTGACTTGATCTAGTGACTGTTGTTTTCATCTTGGTTGTGTGTTGATTGTATTGACCATTTTGCTTTTGTCAGTGCTGTCCCTGGTGGATAATTTGGTTTTGTTACTGCTGAGTTTTAGGGTAGAAAATCACAAGGCTGGCAACACCTTGTCTTCCTTGCCTGGCTAGGCCTCTGCTGCATTCTGTCATTGTGTTTCTAAAGAGTCTTAACTGGTTATTGCAATATCCTTCAAGACTTACCTGAGCTTGGCTTTTGGTTGCTGTACATTAGGACTATATTTATAATCTTCAAGGTGCAGTTTTCATTGATAGGTTTGTCTTTCTGTTCATTTCAACACTTGCAATAGCTGTTTGAGTTTGATACAGTAAGATTTGGAAATATCCTTTCAGAGGTGATGGTCTACTGTAGGATGCAAGTCCTAGATAGTCTTTTAACCTTGAGTATGGAGGAGGCATGGAATTGAAGTACTGAACGAAACAGCTCACTACTTCCAAAAGCTTGAAATACTCAGCTTATCTCATGATTTATCTAGTTACAAGATTCTAAAGGTACGAAGACTGTTTTGGTGATTTGTAGTTGATCTGTTGGTTGTTCCAGGGAACTGAAGGATGAGCCATCACTAAATTGCTAGTATTCCTGTATCTGCAAACTCTGAAGCTGGCTTGTGCCTGGAGTAAATTAACATACTAGAATAACTGGTGAATACATGCCAAAATTTCCTGTTTCTTACTTACCCTTCACCTAATCAGCCTATTTATTGTTGGTCAAACAAGATCCACATTCTTCTGCTAATAATATTCTTAAACTGGCTTAAGGTTTCATTATTCACCAAAACCTGTTGTTTTTTTTCTGAGAGTATGTGATATTTATGTAGCAATAGCAGTACAAGAAAGAACATCTTTTTATTAAGAAGCAGGTGTTTCTTGTGGGGAGGGAAAAAATTGCAATGTGACTTTCTGCTTTACTTGGCCTTCTCCATTTTTTGAGAATATCCAGGGATCTGACCTTCCTTATGTGCGAGTTGATTTGAGGGTTGCACTCTAAAACTTGGGAAGTTAATGGATAAGCTTTTTGGTCTTGATTTCATAATTATAATAAATTTTAAATAAAACTCATACTTTACAGATTGGGATATGTGGTTGTCTTGGAGGATGGAAAAGGGCAGAGTTAATTTGGATTGGAGGCAGTAGCAGGAGACATTCTCTGCTGCAACAGCACACTCCATTGTGTCCCTCTTTGCTATCCAGTATTTAAGATCTGGTGTTAACTTACAGCTGTGACATGGTTCAGAGCATGGGGGGGGTCAGTTCAGGATAAGTGGCTAAGCTGTCATCTGTGCAAGACAGACAAGCAAGTTAGGCTTGTGTGTCTTGAGGAATTCTGAGCTTGAGGGTGAAGTTTTTATGTAAAGGGCTGGGTACTGAGGGCAAACAGACTTAGTTAAGATCTCTAGTATTGATAAAAACCCTAATATTTGTCTATTTGATAAGTCATAATACCTTGTGTAGTTGTAAGTACTTAATATTTGCTTCTCATATAAAGAGTTTTCCTATAATTTGAAATACTAAATTATTTTGTAAGGCTAATATAAATGGCCCTCATAACATGAAGCCAAGCATGAATTCTTACTACATGTGTTTAGGTGCAGTATTTTATAACTTCTACAAAGTTGGAGAATAACTTTTGCACTAGATTTCCTCCTTGTTGCAAGCCTTTCTACCAGTATTTTTGAGGTGTGCAGGGAAAACATCCTTGCTGTAGCATGGTAATGTATATTGTATACTAGGCTGTGCCTTTACTGCTTTTTTCAAAGTTGACTTTTGTTATTTAGACATGGCTTGTGTGTGATCTTAGTAATGTACTTCTGCTGTCTTATATACTGTATGCATTTTAGTCAAGTTTGACAATAATTAGGACACTCAACCTCTAATTTTGAATCAGAGAAAAGGGGTGGTTATCTTCTATTTGAGAAGAATGTTAGTAACTTTAAGTCTGAGAACAGTCAGGAGGTATAAAGAAAATGTTGGAGACAGTATGTGAAGGCTGCACTTCTCAGGAAAAGGCTGTATAGTGGTGTGTTACTGGTAGCTCTTTTGCCTGACCAGCTCTCAATATTGTTCCATTTCATTGGTTTTCTAGAAACCTTTCAGCATCTTCCTGCACTCAAGGGTAGTTCAACTTGGCAACAGTGTAGTGCCAGGTAAATTGTTTGGTGTTCTACTGCACAAAACTTAAATAACAAATATTTATGTAAACAAAAGGAACTTTTTATTTTAGAGACTTTTTTCAGTGAATGAAAAACAAATAAGCAATGCCTTTTATTTCCTAGTGTGACTGTGAAATACTATGGAAAAGCTTCTCATGCTGCTGCTTATCCTTGGGAAGGAGTTAATGCATTAGATGCTGCTGTTCTTGCATACAACAATCTGTCTGTTTTAAGACAGCAAATGAAACCAACCTGGAGAGTTCATGGTGAGATCTTCATTAAATCTAATGTCCAGCAAGTAAGAGTGTAGGCTGTTGAAATACTAACTTACAAAATCCCACAATTTAAAATATTACATTATTGCATTAAATTAGTATAGTCACTTCAAGTACTATGAAGTAGCACCATTTCACTTAAATAGTTTGTCTGTAATCTTCAAAATCATGTCAATGTTCAAACTAACTTCTGAAAGTAGGCTTATGGGTCAGATTCAAAAGAGGACACAAGTACCTAGGTAGAGGCTAGACAAATTGTAAATCTTTACACTTGAAGTTGCAGTTCAGAAAGAAAAGAAAAAAAACCTGCTAAATTTATTTTGGTACGCAGCCTTGAATTCCTTAAAGTTAATGTATGTGTTTTTGCAAAGGTATAAGATTAAATGCCTCTGAAAAATGATGTCTTACGTACTGCATCATTTTTGTAGTAGATGTTCCATTAATTAGGTGACATTCATATTGACACTTATGGAAAGATGTAGGGGTCTAGAGTGACTTAAGTTTATTTGCTGAAGTGTGAAAACAAGTGATGGCAGAAGCCTGTAGTTGTGGTTAGCAGCCCAGTCTACAAGATGTGCACTGGATTTTAGTGTTTAATATCTAGTAGACCTTGAAGTGGAAAGGTCATTTTGCAATAAGACATGTTAACCATTAAGCTTGACTTGTACTCCTTCAATGTCATGCATTTCTTCTGTACAGTGAAGAAATTTCAGTAGTTGAGATGGAAGCTGCCCTTCCTGTAATAAGGTTTCTCTTATTACACCCAACACAACTTTTTCCAGGTTGAAATTAAGAAACTTTGCCATTTCTACAGGACTTAAGAATGTAGAACTGTTTATTTGGAAAACTTGTTATGAGCTTAAAACACTTCTGGAAGTTCTGAGCTAATGATCATTGTATGTCTTAGCTGCTTGTGCTGTATAATATATGTGTGTATTTCTCTCCAAGATACCTGGATGGAGTCTGGAAGCTCTAACCCTATTGATTGTAAATGAAGATGTTTGCAGTTCTGCTGTGCAGCATACCCAAGTGAATTTCAGACAGTGGTCATAGCCTTAGCTCTCTGTCCTATTGCTCTGTAGGAAACAAGGCACTAAATGATGAGTTTTGGTGTCTGAAACTCATGTGATCCAGATTTAAGATTGGAGGTGCCTAAATGTTCTATTGGATCTAAGCCTGAAACCCTGAGTGCTGTTTTCTTCATAGTTTTTAAAGGCTACGTGGGTTATGTAGGCAAAAAACTTAAGTAGCTAAACAAGCTTCCTAGAGGTAATACTTCCCAAACCACAGCAAAACTTAAATCACTGTGTTGATACAACTGCTGATTTTCAAACTGGAAATATTTAAAATACCTTTGGGAAAGTATAAGCAGCCAGAATGAAATTTAATTTTAGGAATACTTTATTTAAAACAGTGTGGTGAAGGTCTTGTGTTGCAGGCTTGCAGTAACAGCTGTGGCTGACTTAAGTGATCCTAAAAGTCTTTGTGTTAACCCACTAACAAGAACTGAAATAATTTCCATTACTTGAAGTCTAGAATTTCTAAGCAATGTTTTATGTACTTGAACAATGTTGGTTTGAATTTGTCTGAGATTTGATAAGTTATTCTTCCATGCTTATGAGTGGAGTAAATGTTGCCCTCCTGAAAAATAGGAGTGTAGATATTTTTCTGCTCAAGAAATTGTATTAAGCTGTAAAAAAAAAAGTTCCATCTAGAAGCAGAGCAAACTAGGTGGTAATGGTAGTGTGCAGGCAGCCCACTTCTTAACTAGATCTACTGTCCAGTCCATATTACAGTTGCTTTGAAATTTAAGTGTAGACATTCTCATAGACTCTATCCAGTTCCATTTACAAATATGTTGGAAGACAAATGAAAGCTCATTGAGCTACTTGTTTTGAGCAAACATGTTATGATGTGTCATGCAAATTTGCATGATTACTTGCTGATTTGCTGGTTCCTTTTCTGTGATGTCTCATCTGAGCTGTTCCTTTTGTTATGTACTAGTACTGATAATAGTTTTATTCAGCCCTCTCTTCACTTGAACTGTATTTGGAACTGGAAAGGTTTTACTTGAGGGAGAAGTTCATAGTCTTAATAGGTTTCCTGCACCAAAAGTAAAGATTTGCCTATTTACATCTTGATAGTACTGTCTTTTTAGGCTTCAGTGACACACATCAGTGACTTTGTGCAGTATCTCCATTTAAGGTAGATAATTTCTCAGGTTCTACAGAAAACAAATCTTATTGCACCTATATAAATTGAGGAAAGGAGGCCAGGGAAAGAAGCAGCCTGTTGAAAGCAATGAGTTGTTCATGGACTGAAATCTAATGTAGAATTGAGGTCTACAGTGTTGTTTTGTTGAAATACCTAAATATTATGGTCTTTTATAGCAATGCCTCTGAGACCATAATTAAAAACTGTGTAGTAGTTACCACGCATTTCTTTGAGGGAACTCTTTCAACTCAAGCTTCATTCTTGAGTAAAGCTGTACATGTATTATACACCTCTATATTTCTAAAGAATTTGTATGAGGAATCTAATGAACTTTGTGTTGCACTCCACTGCAACACACACATTACTCCAGTATGGCTGAGAGATGCAGCTTACTCAGTTTCTCTCCAAGCTGGCAAAGAAGTTGGAAGCATTCTAGTTGAGGAAACCTTTAAAAGCTGGAATCCAAGGTAGCCTTTATAACAATTTTTTTTCTTTTTCAATGGCAGCCAGATTGCTTTACAGCTCTGATGCATTGAATTTCAGGGGATTAATTACAAATGCTAGTTTGGCTTGTCTTTAGGTTTATAACAGGTACCCAAAGAATGCAATGAAATCATGCTGAAAACACATACACATTCCACTTAGTCTGATGTGATAGAGGAACTTTGACCATGTGCTGTATTTTTTAGTCCTTACATATTTCATCCTCAGTTGATGTTTTGTTGTTTTTTATCTATTTAACTCTTGAGCAAGGAGTTTCAGGGCTGAAGATCAAGCATTTTTGTTTAACACTAGTAATGTGACTTTTTCCTTTCTGCAGGTGTAATAAAAAATGGTGGTGTGAAACCTAACATCATTCCTTCTTACACTGAACTGGAGTTCTACTTGCGTGCCCCTTCAATGAAAGATCTTTCTCTTCTGACAGAGAAGGTTGAGAACTGCTTCAAATCTGCAGCACTGGCCACAGGATGCAAAGTAAGAATGTATTGGTGATCATGTGTTTCTATTATGCTGGAGATAAGGTAGGCCAGAATAGGAAACTGAGGTTTACAGCATTTTTTGGAATGGTGTTTAGCTGAAAGAAATCAAAATGCTAATGATACCGTTTGCTATTCTGTTGCCTTGTGTCCTGAAAGAAAGCTTTGATGTATAAATAGAATGTCACAGAATCATAAAATCTAGGGTGGGAGAGGGCTCTAGAGGTTGTCTAATCTAACCCTCTATTTACAGCAGGATGATAGCTCAGTGCCAGGTGGACTTCTGAGTATCACCAAGGATGAAATTCTACTACCTCTCTCAACAGTGCTCTACCCACCTTGTGGTAAACGGGGTTTTTCCTGATGTTTATACAGTGATGGCTGAGAACTGGAACATGTTGCCTGGAGAGACTGTGGTGGTTCCATCCTTGGAGCTACTTAAAAGCTGCATTGATACAGACTTGGGCAACCAGCTGTAGGTGACCTTGCTTGAGCAGGGGAGGTGGAGGAGATGACCTACAGGGGTGATTTCCAACTTCAGCCATATTCTGTGATTCTCTTGTACCCAATTCCCTTTGCCTCTTGTCATATCACTGGGCACCTCTGAGAAGTCTGGTTCTGTATTCCCTGTACCCTCTTCATCTGGTAGCTGTAGACAGCTTAACCTTCTTTTCTGAAGGCTCAACAAACCAAGCTCTTTCAGCCTTTCCTTGTATGGGATATTCTCCAGTACCCTAATCATCTTGGTGGCCTTCCCCTGGACTTGCTCCAGTCTTGAGTTCAGGAGCACAAAACTGCACACAGTGCACCAGGTGGTGCACAGGACTCAGAGGAGTGGCCTGCATCAATAATGAAGGTACTAAAACAGTAATGGCACCAGTATTGATTGCAGATGGATGCTACAAGTAACAGGCAGCAATTTGGGTGTTTGTGTCACTGATCATAACACTTTGAGCCTGACTGTCCTTTGTGTCCATTGGGCCAGACTTGTCATCGTGAAAAGCTGAGCTTGGTCATGCACCATCTGTCCTTCTGTGAATCTGTGCTGGATAATCACAGTTGCCTTGTAATTCATGTCCCTGGACGTGGTTCTTAGGAGGGTTTATTTGCTCTATAATCTCTTGGGGATAGGATGGTCTGACCAGTCTGTAATTTCCAAGATCCTCCTCCTGGCCCTTCAAGATGTACGAGACCTTTTAGCTCTTTTTCAGTGAGCTGGAATATCCCTCTCTTTCCTTTGCCCCATTAAACAGCAGGTTCATGTAGCAACCAAATGTGAAAAACTCTGATTTTTTT